CCTTTCAACCAGCCCCACATGTGATTATCGGCCAGGCTGGCACAATTAACTAACTCAGTGCCCAAGATTACACATGTGATGGGAACAGCAGTATAATTTGTAGATTGAGCTCTATTTTCTTCACTTAATGTAAACTGAAAAAGGGTCTCAATGACCCTATGGGACAGAGTAGAACTTCCCCTGTGGGTTTCCGAGACCATAACTCTTCACGGGAGTAGAAAACCCTGTCTTTCTCCTACAGAGCGCTGGCAGTTTCACACTGCTGCTCTTGTGGTTAGCGGCCCAGTTCTCCGTCCCCTGGGCCCCCCCCTCATTGAAGTGGGATCTGGTGTTACGGCGCGTCCTGGGAGCGAGTCTGTGGTGCAGCTGTCGCCAGCACTCCCAGGAAGGACTTGGTGGCTGTTGAGCCCCGTGCCTCCTCTGCTGGCCTCTCCCCTGGGGGGAGGGAGGGAGGGAGGAGACTGACGTCCTTGGCAGTGATGTAAATGCCATGGTTTCTAAGCAAAGGATCTCGATTTGTTTATGACAAGGAAATGGTGGGTGGGTGTGTTTGGGGGTGGGCTGGGGTAATCGGTGTCAAGCTCAGTACTTTAATTTGTGTAAATGTCAGCATCGTGACGTCAAGGGCAGCTGCAACGCTTATTGTGACTATCTAATAAAACTCGGAGTGCCCTTGCGAGAATGTAGAAACCAAGCAAGTCTGTTTGTACAAGACCACTGGGAAAGGCTTCTCTGGCCCATCTTGGCCCTGGCACCCTCCCTGGGCATCTTCTTCCACAGCCAGTGTGGTGATGTTTATGGGAATTTGTCAGTTTCCGCATCCTGCCCTCCATGGAATTGACAAGATTAATAGCAGCCTCTGTTATTCCTGAAAAAGCCAAATCTAATGAAAAGTGGCTGAGGTTGAGTGTGGATGAAACTTTAGATGGCTAGTGGTGTGTGCTTATTTATCAGGATAGAGCCGTTGAGTTACATGGGGCTGCTGTCACATCCCTTTGACCAGCCCCTGGTTTCAGAGGATTCTAGGTGTTGGGGGCCCCTAACCCACTGCCACGGAGCCACTGTACTCCCGGGGACTGGAGATAAGGTTCTCGGTTGAGCAGCAGTGAGTGGGTTTGAACCTCTGACCTTGAGGGTTAGCAGTCCATTTCTTACCACGCTCACACCACGCAGGTGGTCCCCATGGTTCTTTCTGTCCTTACGTGTGGGAGTCCTGGTGCTCCACCAGAGCGTGGTAATAGGACTGTTCCCTCCTTAGAAACAGAAGCAGCTGTTTCCTGGAGAACTGCAGCTCCACCCCAGGGCCCCTCCTCAGGTGGAGTCCCTCTTCTCTCCAGGA